CACATGTGGTAAAAATGTCATGACAATCCGTCCACAAGTTTTTGAGTAATGTTGTTCACAGACAGAACAGACAGACGTGACCGAAAACATTACCTCGCCCTTGACGGAGGTAATAAACTATGTTCAGGAGTTTGGTTCTTACTGGTCAAACAGAAAAACAGCAGTTTYTGATGGCAGCAACTCACCCTGAAGGACAAAGAGTTCAGCTACACACACACAAACAAATAAATAAATAAAAATAAACGGCTCAAAAAACAGACAATAAAGGAGTCATAGGGTGTTTATTAAAAAAGTCAACTTTAAAATGACTCATAAGTTTGTAAATAGCAGCAATAATAAAACCTCCAAACTCGGCCATCAAAAAAGTTTGTTTTCTGATCCCGGTTTGTGTCAGAACTTTTAAACTCCTTACATCGTGACAGGTGAGGCTAAATAAAACATCCAGCTTATTAAATCTATTTATTGTATTAGAAAATCTGATTTTTCAGGATTACCAAAGAAATATTTGAATTTTCAGCTGAATCCAGAGCGCATTGACACATCATTCAGGAGGTGCTGTTCGACTCTGACCTTTGACCTTTAACTACAAACTATGGCTGTTTCATGTTTAAGGATTAAATCAGCGCTCAGACTTTCAGTCCACTATAAGTTTAAACTCAGCTGGAACAAATGTGATCCAAAAGAACCTGGTTAATAAGAACCGAGCAGCGCGGGGCTCTGACACAAACACGGTCCGTTCAGGACGAACCCAAACCAGCAACTCCAAACGGACTTCATCACCCACCGATCCAGAAGCACCGGAACCCCGCAGCTCTGCCSCCGAAACCCGCAAGTAAAACTCTCGGTGGGACTAAAGATGTGGGTTTCCTGTGCAACAACAGCGAGGCGCGAGCTTTTTGGTTCACGCCGCTCCGCAGAACAACACGGTCGGACCCCGCTGCTGTACGCATGCTCCAAACATCGCTCGCTGCCTCTCACCATCAGCGCGGCGGAGAGGACAACCATCTGCCGTTAATTCGCGGGATAAACGCCCGTCCGGTGGACGCTCACCCCCCGCTGCGTCCTCCTCCGCCACGGACGGTCTGTAAAAAGCCCGCCACTCACCTCGTTCCGCAGCGGGTCCAGTTTGTAAACGGACTGAAGCTGGTTTCGTAGCCGCATCGCTATAGCCATCGGACCTTGCTCCGCCATCTTTGGGAATTATGCTCATATATCCGGGTAAACCGGAAGTGGCATTCTCTGCGAGAAGTGAGTAAACTAGAAAATAAGAGCATCTTTTATGCTT